GCCTGAACATGTCATGGTTGAAGAGGAAGACAAAAGGTTACAGGTAAGTACAAAAAATTTAGCAAAACATTATAATTTTTCCATATTTTATTTCCTTAGAATCACATTTAAAAAAAGAAAAATATTTTGTATTCAGACAATAATATAAATCCCAAAAGTTTTGTTTTTTTTTTACTGTCAACATATCAGAATCTTTTATATATTATATGAACACTGTTGTGAAATTTTTACCCACAATTGGCTATAAAACCTTAATATTAGCAAAGACAATATTCATAAACATGATAAACTTCACAATACCTATGACTGAATTTCAGGTAATCAAGGAAGTCGACCCCCTTTACATGAAACTTGATAATTCTTGGTTGTTTGTTAAGGATCTGGAGATGTGTCAGGTAAATAAGTTTATTCACAGAAAAAAAAAACAAAATCAAAACACAAGAATCTCAGAATGTTCCGAGAGAGTTGTAGATATAATAAAATGAAGGAATTGCGGGCTGAAGGAGTATGAATTGATTCCCTTTATTTCAGTGTATATTGAAAAGAAAGATTGTGGGATAAAAGTCCTTTTCTGCATTAATTATCGCTTTTTGAATTGAATTAATATTTGTATGAGGACTTTAATGCAAGTAGAGAAATACGTTTGATTTAAAAAAAATGAATAATCTACAATGCATTAAAAGTTCATAGATTGTTTATACTGTAAACTTACATATTTTCTAAGACCATTCTTTGTGTGAAACATATTGACTTGTTTTGATTTCATTTCATTGTTGAAGAAGCGTTGAGTCGTTATATATTTCAAATTTCACAATGCATGCATATGGTGGGCATAAATTTATGAATCTCTTCATGCTATGAAAAACAAGAAAATTAAATCCACATGAAAATTGCAGATTTAACTTAATGGTGAGTTTATTTGTAGATGATCTTTGAAGCCATACTCGACAGAGTTGAACATGAGCACAACATAAAGAAAACATCGAACGACTTGGTGGTTAGAGCCAAAGTATAACCAACAAAATTAATGTCAACTGATTTTTTTTACCATCTTCTTTATTTAATTTTTTTGAGGGGTGAAGGTGAAGGGAATTAAATGCTCGTGCAGGTCTCATGTAAGTTTACAGCATAATCAATGAAAATTCGAATTTTTTGTTTGTCCAAAATCTGGTATGATTTAGTTAATATTAAAATACTCTTATTTGTTTTATAGCAAAGAAATGAAATGTCAAACATCCTAAAATTCGACGAACCTGCGCATGTCATGCTTGAAGAAGAAGAAATGTTGCAGGTGATTACAAAACAATTCAACAAAACTATTTTTCTTTTCTTGAGCTACCAGATTCACATTTAAATTTTTTTAATGGTTTTCAGCCAACCTACACCATTCTGAAAGACGAAAACTCCACCGAATTGGAATGTAATGACACTATCGAAAAAGAGGAGAAGACGCAGAGAATAATTCATCAAGCTTGCCACATCAAAGCGGAAAACAAAGAGGAATATCAGGTTTGGTCTTTGATACGGTTTGAAATGTCCTATTCCTATAGGATTTATACCCCTATCCCATATATATTCCCTCCTGTTTTAAACGTCCCATTTGTAAATGTTTCTATTCCTTTGTAGTCCGTATGCTAGTAATTTTATTTATAAAATAATAACTGAAATTATTTTACCATCTTCTTTATTTTATCTTTATGGAGTGCATGGTGGGTGTAAAGGGGGGGGGGGGGGGGTCTTAAAGCACTATAGTTTCGTGCTAGTTTACAGAATAATATTATGAAATTTGAAAGGAAAAAATCTCCTTTTTTGTAAACATATTATTTAGTTAATTTCATTACAAATTTACTTCGTTTTGCTTTATAGCAAAGAAATGAACTATTTAATATCCTAAAGATCAACAAACCTGGGAATGTCGTTGCTGAGGAAAAAGACAAAAGGTCACATGTAATTACAAAACAATTCTGCAAAACATTGTAATTTTTTTTTATATTTTATTCCCTCTGATTCATATTTGATAAATATTTTTTTGTATTCAGTCAATAACAGTGTTATTTCTTTTACTTTCAGCATATAAGAATCTATTATATGAGTACTGTTTTGAAATTATCACCCATACATGTAATTGGCAATGAAACAATAATATTAGCAAAGACAATGTGTCATAAACGGAATAAACGTCACAATACTTTTGACTGAATTTCAGGTAAACAGGGAAGTCGAACCCCTGAACATAAAACTTGATAAACCTTGCTTATTTGTTGAGGATCTGGAGATGTGTCAGGTAAATAAATTCATTCACAGAAAAAAAAAATTAAAACACAAGAATCTCAGAATGTTTCGAGGGAGTTGTAGATATAATTAATTAAGGGAAATGCTGTCTGAAGAAGAATGGATTGATTCCCTGTATTTTCATGTATATTGAAAAGAAAGATTGTGGTCCTTTTCTGCATTAATTATCGCTTTTTGAATTGAATTAGTATTTGTATGTGGACTTCAATGCTAGTTGAAAAATACGTGTTGATTTTTGATAAAAAAGCAAGCATAGATTGTTTATACTGTAAACTTACATATTTCTTTGAATGAAACATATTGGTTTGTTTTGATTTTATTTCATTGTTGAAGAAGTGTTGAGTCGTTATATATTTAATATTTTACAATGCATGGTGGACATAAATTTATGGGTCTCTCCATGCTGTGAAAAACAAGAAAAATTAAACACCGATGAAAATTACTGATTAAACCTATTGCTAAGTTTATTAAACATATCTATTTTAGATGATCTTTGAAGACATACTCGACAGAGTTGAACAGGAGCACAACATAAAGAAATCATTGAATGACTTGATGGTTCGAGCCAAGCTATAACTATCAAAATTTTAACTGAATTTTTTTTTAAAACATCTTCTTTCTTTTTTTGTGGGGTGAGGGGGAAGGGAATTAAATGCTCAAGTCTTATGCCAGATTACAGAATAATCTATGAAATTTATGAATAAAAAATAATCTTTTTTCCCTCCAAAATTTGTATGATTTAGTTTGTATAAAAACACTCTTATTTGCTTTATAGCAAAGAAATGAAATATCAAACATCCTAAAATTCGACGAACCTGTGCATGCCATGCTTGAAAAAGAAGAAATGTTGCAGGTGATTACAAAACAATTCAGCATAACACTAAAATTCATTCCCTATTTTTTTTCCTTGAGCTATCAGATTCACATTGAAAATTTTAAAAAAGATTGTTTTTCGGCCAAATCAAACCACTCTGAAAGACGAAAAATCCACAGAATTGGAATATAATGACATTATCAAAAACGAAGAAAAATTGCAGAGAATAATTCATCAAGCTTGTCATATCAAAGCCGAAAACAAAGAAGAATATCAGGTCTTTAATACAGTTTGAAATTTCCTACGATTTATACCCCTATCCCTTATATATCCTCAACATTTTTAAACCTATTGTCCAATTCGTAAATGTTTCTATTCCTTTGTAGTCCTGTGCTAGTAATTTTTATATCCATATACTTTTTATACCCTCTAGTATCTGTTTCATATCTATATCCAATTCTTTTTTATGATCCTTTTTTATATCCCTATTTTATTTAAACCCTTTCTTTTCTATTTGCCTAATCTATTTAAACCTCTATCCTTTTTATATCCTTATTCTAGTTATACCCATATCCTATCTTCTTTTTACCCCTCTCCTCCTTATATCCATAATCCCTTAAGACTATATCATTTCACAATATATGGATCAATTCTTAGACAAATGAACCAAATGAACAATTAATATGAATTTAATGTAAATTTTTGCTGAGAATTAATAAAATTAAAATATTTATTTACATTTTATCTCTACTGTTTCAGGAAAACATCGAAAATAAAGTTCCACAAAGAAAAATTGACAAACCATGGTTATTATCAGAGGATCTTGAGATGTGCCAGGTAAATGTTATCAATTTTTAAAATTTTATTAGACATTACGTGTTAAACAGAGCCTTTTAGTGTGAATGGTAGCTTTGAAGGTAAATTTGGAAGACAAATAATTATATATATGGTCAACTGTCCATTCCAATTACTTCTGGAGGAAGGGGGTGTCACTAACTGTAAAATGCAACGTACAGAAAAATCTGGATGATTTGATAGAAAAAAACAGAAGTATTTATAATGCTTTTTTTTCCCAAATTTTTCTTTTCTTTGCAACAGAACAAGTTCTAACATTTGTGTTATAGAGGATTTTAAAAATTTTCTTGATTCTTCAAATTCTATGATGACGGTTCATTTCAGGAGAGAAATGAAATATCTAAGATTCTCAAATTTGACAAACCTTGGCATGTTGAAGATGAAGAGATGGTACAGGTAAAGAAAAGAAAAATAAATAAAAATACCTTGTATCCAACTCCCTGAAAAAAAAATCTTTGTCTGCAATTTACATTCAATAATCATTCATTTTTTGTTAGAATGAGATGAAAAGAAAAAAAATTACAAATGTAAATGTGTATGAAATAAAAAGATGTATATTAAAATATTTTTTTCAGAATCTGTATAAATAACATGTCTAAAATGAGATTTCAAGAAAAAGTCACTTAAGTAAAATCTTTTTAATAATTAATTACCAAAGGCAAATTTTACTATGACCATAGATGTTTATAAACAAGATAAATGTGTATTTTTTCTATAGGGTATAATCAATAATTTAATGGAAAGAGTTGAAGAGGAAGTTGAAAGAAAAAGAATGAAGACACTGATGGCAAAAGTTCTAGAAGAATTGAACGTACTCTCTCACCTTCAAAATTGAGATATAATTTTTTTCCATGCCATCTAAATTTAAAAACCAAAATATTGAAGCTAGAGAATTTAAAAATTTAAAAAAAAGTTCTATTTATATTTACTTTTCACAATACAATATGCCATGGTTTGTGTTTTAGTCTAGGGTAACTATCATTCATTTTGAGGAAAATCCCAACAATACGAAAAGCTGTCCACTGAAATTTAATGACGAAAAGGTTCAGAAGAACATTAAACCATGTCACATTGGTTCAGATAGAGAAGAATTTTGTCAGGTACAATACATAATATAATAATTTTTTTAAAAAATGAGCAACGCATATTGTTTATTTCTTAAATGTATAGATGGCTGATATTTTATACAATTTCAAATCTTAATGACAATAAGTGTTTACTCTTTTCCTGATTTCCTCTGAAAGAATTGCTTATTTTTTCAATATCTATGATTAATGTGCATATTTAAGTAAATTGTTTTGTTTTTCTCTAGAGCATACATGCTGAATTTAAGAAGAGAATTGAAAGAGAGGTAGAAATTGGAAAAGTCAAGTCTATGATGGCAGAAGTCTATCAGGAATTAAAGGTATGTTAGCAATGCCAATTATATTATTGGAACCATAACTTGGAAAATGAAGGATATGAATTTTAGTCATAAAGGACATAGAATTTTAGTCATAAAGGACATACAAAAGCTTTGTTTTGTAAATATATTTTTGAAGAATGTCAATCAATTATTTATACCATATTACAGGGTTTTTTTTTGTATAAACACAATTTTTGCAAAAATATGCCAAACGTGTTAGTTTAACTTGTGTAGTCCTATTTTTGTGATTGTCCCAGTAGTTTAATATATTATCTATGCAATATATATGATACACAATCAGTGACAATTTTATGTAAGTTTAATTTTTTGCATTCTATTTAAGATGCTCACAAAGACAGTAAAAATTGGATCATTGCAAAAATAACCCGGTATAAAGTCGAAAATCTAAAAAAAAAAAATTACCATAAATAGAACATACGTACAGTGCAACTTATTTCATAAACTTCAGTTAACATAAAAAAGAAGTAGATGTTCTTTGATATGTCTCCCAATACGCAGTATTTTTTATTTATAGTTGAAAGTGCCTGTTGTCCTGAGTGTGTCAAATCCCCTTGAAGATGCTCATCATGCAAATCTGAAAGAATATATTGAGACAAAACAAGGCAAGAAATGCCACATAAGCAAGAAAAATGACAAGGTAAATACTGCAGAACATTTCTATGAATATATATTTTTTCATATGATATTGCAATTATTTCCTTAAAATATACATAGAATATCACTTCTGAATCTTTAATGAAGGTGTGTTGTATTATGGAATTTTTATACCCGTCCGGTAATTTAAAATTAGAATTCTTATTTGAAAGCATTGAAACATTCATGAGGCTAATTGCATAATCAGCTTTGTATTATATATTTGAACATAAAATTGTAATGACTCATCCAAATTGGACATTTTTAAGTTATTAATTAATTTCAAGGAAGCTCTAAACACTGCACACTAAAGAGTTCTACTTGTAGGGTAGTTTTGTGCAGTTAGAGCTGATCTGCCCTTAGAGGAAAGATTAAAAAATTGTTATTTACAGTTAATTACACAATTTATTATAGATTAAAATATTCTGAGCATTATATTTGACTAAGATTAAGTAATTGAATTCATTATTTTCAATATTTTTCCCAATGTAAGTGAACAACAGAGGTTTCTGTTCATGAATAGTCCATTGTCTTTGAACATTTTTCCTGCGGAAATAAGGCAGGTACTAAATAGTATCAATGTGCACATCTTTATATGATATATTTTTCTCCAAGTCCAAAAAGCACTTTTTGTTAGTGTTTAAAGCTTCCTTAAACCTTCTTTGAACAGGTCCCTAGAAGAAAGTACTTTAAGAACTTGAAGAAGAGGTTTCGACGATTATTCCATTGCGGTGTTTCCCCTTCATCAGAGAATGAGATCTAGTCAAGTTTATCCATTAATTTTATAGACATTTTGTATTTATTGGTACTATTTTTTCCTTAAATAAATAAATAGATTAATTTAGCATAAAATAAAGTGTTTTATTGTGCCTACCAAATTTGATTTTTTTTTAAATTTTATTTTATGTAGTGCATTTTTAACATTTCCTCTGATTCTGAAAAAGGTCAGTGATTAAATATGCCTTTTTGAACGACGATATTCTTCTTAAAACATTAGTATCGATATGTGTCATTTTAATAGATTTTATTTATTTATATCTATATCAATATCAATAACTAAATTTTCACAATCCTTCAATGATACAAATTCAACAATTATTATACATGGAAATATAATCCACTTGTGATATGTATCATCCATAAGTGATACAATCCATGTCAATATTTACCCATGGAGATATCAACCATGCCTCCAAGGTGTATTAATGCACTTATCCAGTGGCTGTGGAGTGAATAGCTCTATCCCACACAGCAAGTGAACTTTTTTTTATTATACTGGTTTATATTATAATTTCTGAGGGTTGGATAGCACAATTTATACACCCAGGATATAGCTCTGTGGAACTCTTCACTATTAGAGAAGTCGCAGTTCGTTATCTTCACCTTTTTAATGATACAGTTTATGGCAACACTAACCGATGGAGACATCAACCACCCAGAATATATATATATATATATATATATATATATATATATATATATATATATATATATATATATATATATATATATATATATATATAATCCCTTGATGATATAATCTCTATTTACAGTGATAGATATAGATATCAAACACCCAGGATATATAGCACCTTTTGATGATGCAATCAATGTCAATATTTACTAATGGAGATATCAGTCACTCAGGTAACATCATCCTTTGATGATACGATCGATGTCAACATTTACTGAGAGATTTAAACCACTCAGGATATTTATATATCATCCTTTGATGATAAAAAGAGTCTAGATATTCAAAGATGAGGATATCAACCACTCAGAATGTTTATCATCCTTTATGATACAATCATGGGTGGAAATATCAACCACTTAGGATGTATCATACTTTGATTATAAGATAAATTCAAAATTCACAAATGGCGATATCAACCATTCGGTCTATATATCAACCTTTGATCATACAATCGATGTCACCATTTTCAGATGGAGATATCAACCACCCAAAATATATACATGGATACAATCTACAGTTATGGATGGAGATGGTTATGTTGACATTTAATGTCAACATTTATGGAAATACCCAGCAGCTACAAGAAGGATATATCATCACTTGATGAAACAATTGATGTCATCATTTAAGCATGGAGATATATCAACGTAGCAGGATATATATCATCCCTTGATGATACAGTTGATGTCAACATTTACTGATTTTGATGTGACAATTAATGTTAACAGTTATGAATGAAGATAGATAAGTTGACAATTAATGTCAACATTTATAGTTGGAGATATCAACCACTCAGGATATATATATGATCCTTTGATGATACAATGTCTGTAAATGTCTATGGATGACAATGTCAACCAATCAGAAGATTTATTATATGATTGAATAAATTCTTACTCTCTGATTGACCGAGATCCAGCAATGTTAGAAAAATATAAGGATTTATTTTCTCTACATTGGTCTAAAAATAGATCAGGAAAGTCCAAAGTGATACAAATGGTTTTTGAAGGGAATTTCACTTGCTACCAACTTCCACTCAGGTGGACATAAAATTAGGGATTACAAAATTTGGTGGTCGAAGGAGGGTCAGGGTGCCCCCCCCCCCCCCCCATCCAAACTTTTTTTTTCTGAATGTAATTATAAATTTTTTACTTATAATTTAGACTAAAAATATTCATTGTAAGTTAATCAAACTTTGGTGGAATTATTATGCAACGCAAAATTTCAAAATGTGACTGCATGTGTTTTTAATTTAAATGTAACCTCAGCCTAAAATTTTAATTCTTTATTTTTTATGGAAAATCCTATAGCATAATGGTACAATGTATGCGTTATCAGTAGAAGAAATTTCTTTTTTTTCCTTCTTCAAATATAAAAGTGATGTGCAAATTTACTCCCTTAATTTTTAATTTCAGTCCACACATGTTAAATTTTAAAAATTCTATTTCATTTATCTCTTTCTCTTAATTTTTTCCTCCCTTAAACGTTCTCATCTAGTTGCTAAATAAAACGATAGGAAATTTAGTGTACATTTCTAAACTTTTAAATGCATAACCATCTTCAGTCAAATCTTGCTGCAGCAGGAATGAACCAGGATTTTTAAAATTACCCCATTTTTGTTAATATGTTAACATTACAGCTATATGTTTGTGACATCTTTTAAATTGTTGCAAATTTAACAGAGAAAAAAATAACTCAGAGTGCAGAGAATAACTTTATTGTGTAAACATTATACATGTACAAGTATTTATTTTCAACTGCCACAAAAAGATACTATCTTGTTTAGTAGGCACATCAGCAGATGTAAATTTTATCACAGATGATTTGTAAATTGTCTATCTAACACAGGAAATAGCATGTAGAAGGTGACAAAGAAATTAAGAGAAAGGAACTTCAGCAATATTAAGCTACAGGGAATAAATGAAGTCAAAATACTGATGCTTTACTCAAATAAATATCTTAAAAATAATAAAATGGACGGATTTATTTTCCATCGTGGAAAGAGTGCACACACTGAAGTGAATGCATAACCAAATACATATGTAGTAGGTCAAAATTTATCACGCCATGATTTGTGAGTATGTAAATAAGACTTAAGTTGACAATTAGATTTCAATTATAAATCAACAAAACAAACAACAAAATATAAAATATGAATATAAATAATCAAAAATCAAATGCAATCAATATTTTATCACAGTCTTGTTATGGAGGAAGTCTCGTTTAATTTCACTTTCATTGACCCATTTTTCTTCTTAGATTGACTATGCAGCAATCTATAAATTTTATAGATAATGCCTCTTAAATCATTCACTTTCTTCAATGAAATAAAAACAATATATAGTGTTTAGTTTGACACACCAATGAGAAGAGATCGGTGAAAAACGATAGCACACAACGATATTGGACACAATAAAATTCAATCAGTTTAAATATAGATGGCCTCTTTTCAAATGCTTTATAAAAAATTCATCCACAAAGTCTCCAGGACTGTTGAATAAATCACCATAATTTAATTTTTTTTGGTGAAAATCCATTACACAGAGCACAAAGTATTTATTTTTTGAAGGGGGGGATGACTTAGTCATCAAGCTGACAGAGTAGAGCCACGCCTCTCCTGATCCAGTGGTCCTGGGATTTGTCGGACGGTAGTGACATGGCAATGACAAAGTTTGTGGAGTGACCAGTAGTGGACAGCACACCACGACGTTCTGATGTTTTGTACACGGGGGACACGTAGATTTTCTTGGCAGGAATTTCTGACCTCTTACAAGGCTTGACCCAGACCTACAATGTACAAAAAATATTTGTTAAGATTCTCTTTTTATTGGTAATAACTATTTTAGTCATCATTTTTATCATTTGACAAATGACACAAATAAATGACTAAATACAGGAAAATAAAGACCTGATGTCAAGGATTATTACTAATTAAAGCATAGATTGCATGCCTTGACATGTACATGTACAGTAAAATTTGTCTAATTTGGACTTTACCAATTCCATAAAAAGAGGTGGATTAGACAACATTCTTGATTAGACAGCATTTTAAACAACTGCATTTTACGAATATGAGCTTGATGTTTACAGTTTACATCGTATTAGGCAAGATTACGGAATACACAACCTCTGGATTAGACAAGTTTCACTGTAGTGTAAAGTGTGTCTATATTATGTAACAAACCTTAGGCATGGCATCAAACAAAACTTTGGGTTTGGATTCTGCCAATATCTTATCATCTCTGTCCCATCTTGCTCCATCCACAAACAATCCATAAACATACACTCCTAAGGGAAAAATAGAAAAAGAGACAGCATATCAAAGATATGATTAACAAAAATTACATCATAAACTCCATGTTTTTAATTTAAAAATAGTAACCCTCCCCAGTCAAAAAATGAGGATACAAGATTAGGAAAACTAACCATCTTCAGGTGGCGTGTCCTTGTCTGCATCATCTAGAATCTCATAATCAAAGCCTAGCAAGTCAATGGGAATGGTG